ATCGAGTAGAATTCGGGAGTCTTTCCGTCAAATGTGGAGGAAGATATTTGTAGCATCATGTCTGCTTGCTGTTTTATTGGATCCATTGTTTCTCTACGTTCCTATGATGAAGAATGATATCAAGTGCCTGCTGTCTGACAGAAACTTGAAGATCGCCGCTCTTCTTTTAAGATCACTCACCGATCTTTTCTATATATTGGACATTATTTTTCAAATTTATACATCTGACAAGTATTCGCGTCCCATGAATGTATATCATGAAACGCGAATGTACTGGCCGACCATAAGTATTCGGAGGAGAGATGGTGTGCCAACAATAGCTAAGATAATCTTAGGGTCATACAATGTCTTAATTGACATTTTGGCCATTCTTCCGCTTCCACAGGTAACAAAAACTAATCGTTTGCTTTACGTACCAATCTCCCTTTTCTGTTTTCATCCAAAAACATCTGCATATCTTAATTGATGATTCACCATTTTACTCATGATAATTTAATTTTAACTGATTGTATTATTAATGTATGCTGTCCAGGTAGCAATTCTCATTTTCTTTTCAGAAATGAGCGACTTGAGATCTTTGACGACCATAAGGATGGTTACCATGAACCTTTTTGTTTTATTGCAATATGTGCCACGAGCTCTTCGCATCTACTTATCATGTAAGGAACTTAAAAGGACTCCTAAAAAAGACATTGGAGAGACTGCCAAATGGGTTAAAGGTGTCTTGAATTTCTTTATGTACATCCTTTCTAGTTATGTAAGTTTCAAAATTTTATCATAATTTATTTTAATTTCATAACACTTGCTTGCTTGCATTAGTTAGACAAATAAAAGGAGAATAATGTAGAGCATTGTTTGGTTGGAATTCTTGCTAAGTCTGATGAACATGGTTACATGGGGTCGATATTTTAATAAAGTAGGCACATATTCTTCACTTATATTTGCAAAAACAAGAATGTATCATAACATTAAGTTCTTTCAAGGTAGGTATGTTTTCCATTTCTTTTTGTTACAGGAGAGGATTCAAACTCTAGTCTTAGGTGTAAATATTATATGTACCACTTTGGGTAGAAACCCTTACATCTATGTTTAAAGATAAATGTTATTTAATTTCCATAATTCTAATTAATTAACTTGATATTCTTCAGGTACTTGGTGCCATATGCTACTTTTTCGCTATTCAACGTATGGCCACTTGTTGGCATAATGTATGTCGCAAAGCAAATGGATGTAACACCAGTACTTTTGGATGTCATGACCATCACACAGATAGAAATATTACATTTCTAAATGATTTATGCCCTATAAGTCCAATGAATACAACGCTCTTTGATTTTGGTATATATATTACAGTCCTTCAATCTGGTATAATGGGATCAACAAATTATTTTCAAAAGTTCTCAAATTGCTTTTGGTGGGGACTGCGAAATTTGAGGTTTGTATATTATTTTTTTGTCGTTTTGTTCAGTCGGAAATCGATTTGCTTAATTTGTTGGAGAGTAATATAAATTCAATCACACACATCCAGACCTAAAGAAAAGTTCACTTTTGTATCTAATATATTTCACCATTTCATTTTTCCAGTTCTCTTGGTTCAAATCTTGAGCCTAGCGTGGATGGATGGGAGAACCTCTTTGCAGCGTTCATCTCTATAATTGGATTGCTTTTATTCTTGTATCTCATTGGAAATTTGCAGGTTTTTACTCTCTTTTCTTTTTTGGGTCTGATATTTTATTTCTATATGCATATTGTTGGCTTTTTTTTCTTTCTAAAGCTTGAGTTGGCTTTTGATTGGGAAAGATAAATAAGTAATTCCTAGTTAATGACTGAGCTACTTGTGTTGGCATATATAGACATACATGCAGTTGGATACTCAAAGAATAGAGGCGCATAGACACAATATGAAAATGGAACAGAAGATGGAAGGGAAAGGTCGCGAGATAGAGTTGTGGTTATCTGAAAATGGCATCCCCAAAGAGATGCATAATATGAAGTCGAAGATCATGAACAAGGTACGACAAGAACTTGAAGAAAACAGGGATGCCGATTTGGACCATATCATCACTACTCTTCCCAGTGAAATTCAGAAGCATATTGAAAGTTGTACGCCTATGGCTAGGTTGAAGCGAGTAAGTTCCTCCAAAACCATGACTCTAATAATTACTAGCTGCCTTTCCATAATAATTACTAGCCGCATTTAATAATAACTTGTTTTTTTTTTTTCCCGGATAAAAATAACTTGTTTACTTAAGCAGTGTTATATAAAGATTGAGTGAGACGTGGGTGAAATTTTGTAAACCAAAGAGTAATAAGAGTAAATCTGTAAAACAAGTAATTAAACAAAAACTAACAGATTAGTATAATCTCTAAGGGGAGATATAGTGAAACTTTCAAAATACCTACACACATCCTTAGTTTATAATACAACACATCCTTAGGTCAAATTAGTATAATTAAATAATTAAATAAAAAGTTATATATATATATATATATATGATTGTAGATGAGAAGCATGAAAATTAAGGAACATCCAAGCCATTGCCAATTGCCATATATGAATCTCACAAAACACCAAGATCACATTAGACTCAGATCTAGAGAGATGCGACTAACAATATTCTAATTACTATTCACTACCAAAAAAAAAAAAAAAAGGTGGCAACAGTCACCATTTTGTCACCACTTTTGGTGACTGTTGTGGGGGTTACTAAAGGCTTTAGTCACCTTTTTTTTATTTTTTTGGTGACTAAAAAGACTTTCAGTCACCTTTTTTGCTTTTTTTAGTTACTAAAGCCTTTAGTAACCCCCACAACAGTCACCAAAATTGGTGACAAAATGGTAACTATTGCCACTTTTTTCGTAGTGATTCTTTCTGTATTCTTCTAAGATAAAGTGTATGTATTTATTAATTCATTCTATTTCTAGGTGCTAACGTTGCAAAACATGGATGAAGATGTGTTGAGAAGAATTTCTCAGCGTCTTAAGCCCATGGAGTTTGATGGCAATTCTATCATTATTGAAAAGGGTAAACCACTTGAAATGATGCTATTCATTGTGGAGGGAAATGTAGGCATTAAAAAGAGGAATGGTTCTTCTTCTTCTAATAATAATTTGCAGCAACGAACTCGAGGTGCAGGAGAAGTATGTGGAGAAGAACTTCTACTTTCGCCATTGTCGATCTTATATCTTTGGGACAAATTACTCTTGGCAACCGAGTCTGCTAAGGCAATAGGTCATGTTGAAGCCCTTGTTCTCACGGCTAGCGACTTGCGGGGAGTGGTCAAAATGGACTATTTCGTTGGGATGATTTGTAGAATATTTAGTGCAAACGAACTTGAGAAGGCAACAGACAACTACCATCAAGATAGAATCATTCGTAAGGGCGAGAATCCAACCTTTTACAAAGGGGTACTGCCCATGCCAGATGATGATAAAACAGTGGTTGCGGTAAAGAAGTACGGAAATTATTTTGGTAATGGAGATGTAGCTATTGAGGCGGCTGTTGCTTCTCAGACCAACCACATAAATGTGGTGAGGTTCTTAGGTGCTTGTGTGGAACCACATCTAGAAGCACTGGTTTTTGAGTACATTCCCAATGGCACACTTTTTGATCACATTGATAGAGCAGCACCAGCACGCAGTGGACCAGCACACAGTGTGCGTCAGAAACACATTCATAGAGCAGCAGCATCATGTTCACCGCCTGCTGTACTTTCGTTGGAGTTACGACTCAAGATAGCGTCAGAAACAGCTGAAGCACTAGCTTGCTTACACTCACTCACTCCGCCAATCATACACCTACGTTTGTCGACAAAACATATACTATTGGATGATCATTACACCGCAAAGCTGTCTGCCATTGACCCTCAAAACATATACTTACAGTCACGACCAGTTTTTCGGGGTCCCGCCGAATACTTTGACCCTCATTTTGAAGAAGACAGACTAGCAGAAAAGAGTGACGTCTATAGTTTTGGAGTTGTCCTAGCGGAGCTACTAACAAGTCAAAAGCCAGCTTCTCCTAACCGCGTAAGGGAAGAGCCACCCCTGGCAACCTGTATTCTATCCTCAATGGAAAAGGGTCGCTTGAATCAAATTCTGGATGGTAAAATAATATTCAACGAAGCAACTTCTGAGACGGCCAAAAAGGTGGCGGATCTGGCGAAAAGATGTTTAAGGTCAAAAAGGGAGGAAAGGCCTTCCATGGAGCAAGTAGCCGTGGAGCTTGAGGGATTGCGCAAATTTATGGCAGAGTATCAAAGGGGAGAACCCAGTTTCTCAAACAGGCCAACCTCTTTGCAACCGTAAACAACAATAATAAAAATATATAAATAAATAAACAATCAAGCAAGGTACAAAATCTAATTAGTGTTGTTTGCAGATGCTTTATTAATCTAATGAGTGAATAATTCTCTGTTTATATTCGTGCTTATACTCTAATTAGTTCCTGTTAATCTTGTCCTCTTGACTGTAAGCATTATATTAATCAACTCACCACTAGTGTCTTGTATCCGAATCATAAATTACCTATTGCCCCCATAGAAATCCAAATTGCCGGCTGTGACCTTTTTCTTCAGTAGGGCTTCTATGCCTCTTATCCCCATTCTTGTCCCCTTCAACATCGTCAATAGGACTCCTACTGTAATCAGATCTGCGATCCTGTGGGGAGGGGCTTCTGCTTTTTCCCCGCTCTCCGGTGATCTGGAATCGACTGCACATTAAAAAAAGCAAAATGAATAATTGAGTTTAAACAGAAACTAAACTGAAGAGTATGCTAGGCTTTCTCGTGATATCATAGCCGTTGATATCTATAACAATAACACCCGCGCGTCCTTCTCTTGCCAGTGAATGGGACAAGTCCTTGCCAGTAAGCGTTTTTATTATATAAACATGTTGTTTATTACAAATGCAAGTCTTGAAAAAGTACCTAGTTAGTATATACTATTGTTGGTTATCATAAAACGGTTTGTCGTTTGTATAAAAAATAATAATAATAATAATAAACCCACTAATACAAGCATATAGTGAAATTAGTAAAATTAAAAATATAAAATAAAAGGGTATATGATTGCAGATGAGAACCATGAAAAATGAACATCCATATATGAATCTCACTAAACACAAAGATTCAGACACGCATGAGACTGAAAGAGATGTGACTAACAATTATATGTATAGAAGTAATTATTAATATGTTTAAATTTTATTTATTTATTAATTCTTCTATATAAGATTCATTCACTCCCGCACCGATCATACACCAATGTTTGGCGACGAAATTATATATATACTAAAGCCCAATGCAACCAGATACTATTCATAAGCACTGTTCCTTGAACAGTGAACTGCCATAAAAACCCCCGCTTCACTGTTACGCAGCCTTATACTTTCCTAACAATACAGTAAATTGTCGATTTTACCCTTTTAAAATTTTTCCCTGATGTTCCCTTTTTGCCCTTCTCTCTTTGGATGCTAACTCTGCTCACTGTTGCTTTTCTACAGACAGATCGTTTGCTTCCAACGAGCTTGGTTAGGCTGGTTGGGGGGCAGCCATGGGATGCACGGCTTTGATCTTCGGGATTCGTTTGAGGCGTCGATTTCCATTTGGGATGGCGCTTTGCAAATCTCACCGTTCGCTTAGTCTTCATCTCATCTCTCCTGTCGTTGGTTCAGCCATTCCAAAGTTCATCTGAGAGATTTTCAATCTGCAAGTTTTTCCATCCTCTGTCCAACGTTCGTCTGATA